CGAGCACTGATGGCTCCACTKATTTGCCGTTACCGTCTTCATCAACAATTAATGRCAAAACAGTAAAGCGTCGTAAGTATAAAGACAAYTATTTAAATTTCGGATTTACGTTTATTGGTGATGATAATAATCAAATACCTCAGTGTATTGTATGTGGCGTAACTTTATCAAACGAGTCTATGGTACCAAATAAATTAAAAAGACATTTAGAGTTTATAGTATAAACAATAGTATAACTATTTATGATACGACTAATTTCGAAAAATTCAACGTTTCAATGATCATTGATTGTTAATCGTTCGTACAATTTAATTACTATTATTGAAGTGAAACTTCTTTACAGATGGGACAACGATGAACATTTTGTAGCGAAATATCATGTTTAAGGTCTTATGTGCCACGATGCTATAATGACACAAAATAATTGTCCGTGGCATCAACCAATTGTGTAAAATAATTCTATTTTTCTTAAAATGATCCCTCATCTAACCGTATTCCATTTGATAATATAATCAAGGATATGTTTTATTGTTGTTACCATATTGACCTTATACTAGTTATACTTCACAACTAGTCATTAAACAGTGTTGTGAATGTATGAATGAAAAGCATAACAACATGGCGGGTGTCTTTTTGTTTACTCGTTATTTAATCGTATGCATGGTAGTATTATATGATACCGTTTTCATTAAATTCGTATAAATTTATTTAATTTAAATAAATCGTATATTTAAATTTAATAGTAAATAAATGTTGTTACAGTTATTATTAATTATTGATAATTACCTAATGTCACAGTTGTTACAAAAAATAGGTATATGTTAAGGTTTTTAATACGCGTACTACACAATATCGTGTTCAGTTTAAAGCTTAACTCTACCATAATTATTGTAAATATGCAACTCGTCAAAAACAGCCTACATCACTGCTAGATGATACGCTTGATGAAAGCATTTTTTATACATAGTCGAATTGGAACGGTTTTTGTCTTKTATAGGTTAGGTCAATGATTTAGATACATTTCATAATAAAAAAATTAGTCAGGAATAGTGAGACGGAGCGTCGTTTAACGATTTATTAACATAATATACTGTAAGTGAATAATTCAAACTATTTAGACCTGTACGTTTATTAAACAAAATAATAATAATCAAACAATTAGATTATTCTTTTTTGTATCACGAGCTTGAAACTTAAATCTACGAAACAAGTAAGCTGCGCACGCCTGCTTCATTGTTAATTATTAGTCGATTGCTTTTTTGATTAAATTTCACTTACGGAAGTTTCATTATTTATTAAAATGCATTATTGTTATTCAGGTATTACCCATACACATTTTATCACAACTAGGTATAGTTATACTAAAAATATTCATTTGATTTGAAATCATTTTATATTACGCGTACTGCGTGTTATTCTTTTTGTATTTTTACGGCGGTAACAAGAAAATGTATAGTACCTATTTATATATATCACGAGTACAAGCGATAAAAAAATTGATTATTCCACATACCGAAAACTAAACTCCTAATGATCAATAATTTTTCAAAACTGTTCACGGATTTCTTAGAACACTTTTAGTACTTATTTCTTAAAATAACATTCAGCATAACAAAATAATATTTTGAAYCTCAGCGCCGTCTGAAAGCATTATACCGCATACCACGTACATACTTATTATAATTGATGTAGATAATTATAAATTCATAATATACTTATAAGTTATATTCATAATTAATTTTATTCGTGACTCAGTGAAATAAAAATAAGAACTAAATTAATTTATTATGCCAAATTAACTACTTGGGCCCGTGTATACAACGTTGGAAAAACGTGTTTTATGAGTATGARATATTAATTTGTTTATGCGTTCTTAATATAATATTTGGAATATTTCGTTGTACAATTTATTATTATAATACATTTTTTTCCTGTTTGAATCGACGGCGCCACGGGAATGCTTTTGCATTACTGCCGCGACGCCGCCAAATGTATAAATATACATTATGTCAAACAAAAAAAATAATTTTTCTGGAATCATTTTGTTATGAACGGCAATATTAAGTCATTCAAGAATATTTTTTAAAACAAAAAATTGTTATTATTGTTTCATTGTAGTTTTTTAAACGACAATACTTATCATTTTAGATTCTGGGAGGAGYGATATTTGCATATTGATTAACACAATGATGTGTGTTTTTTTGTGTCTTTCATCAACTTTTGTAACAGTAAAAGTGCTTCAATTTTCTTCAACAGATAAAAAGCATTTGAAATTTTTACGCAAACCAGTTTTTTGTATATTAGTGTAACATTTAAAAAATAATATTGGTTAGATGAAATTGTCACTGAATGTTAATATTAGTAATTTCTATGCACCATAACATTTTCAAAATATTGTCTCCTTTTTATAGGCATGAATAAATATCCATTTTTTAGATCTTGAGCGGAGCGATGAATGTATTGATWTTACAATAATGTGTTTTTTTATTTTCAAAAAAAAATGAAAAAAAAAACAATATAAATGGGAATTTTTACGCAAAATAAATTTTTGAAAAAATCTATTTTAAATATTGGTGTAACTTTAAAACAAATTACCGTAGACTCATGCAATTTTTATTGAAATTTTACACTGGTATGTTATTGTTCTATACCTACTCGAAAAATTTTTCAAAATATTTAAAATCTTTTTAGTTTATTTTTATTCCCTTATTTCTTTTTTGAAAATATTTTGTAATTTATATACTATGAAATTATAAGTATATTTTCAATTTATTACAATTTTGTGTTCAAATTTAAGCACTTGTATAAGATAATATAAGATATAGGTACATACGTTGCTGTTATTATTATTGGGCCCACATTGAAGTTTTCTTGGCCCGATTTTTTAAAATCATATCCGCTGTCTATAATTTTTACAATGTTCACATAATAATAATACGAGTATCAATAGTATCATTATAACATGATCGGGGCGTTACTCACAGCGGCGTGCCAAATTACAAAACACCATGTACCAATGATCGCACAAAATATAAATGATAAATGCATTTTGTTAGGTCCTGTGTTAGAAGAAAAAATTGTGTTCATAATTTTACTATAAATTATTATTTCATTATATTTTTCTAAAGGTTTGAAATATTTTAATAAATTAAATAAAATCAACTAACGTTTTTAAGTATATCCAGTAGCGATGATTACCATAGTTTAAAATATTTTCTGTAATAGGTGGGTTTCAACATAAAAATTAAAACATGTACGTACACTGCCTAGATTTTAGTGTGTGGTATTTATTCATTGATGGTTTCAAATATTTTTAATTCTTAGGTTTTGTGTTTAACACACAAAAATGTACACATTTATTAATTTTTTTACTTTTATTTAAAAAAAAAAAATTCAAAGGTTTTCTTTTTAAATTGTATAAATAATCTATATTCAGTACCTATTGTTCTTATTTATTAGTTTTCAAAGATTTACGTTTATTCATAGGTGCGTTTTAATTGTTTAGATCGCATCACGGTAGACATTTTTAAGCGAAATAATAAAATTMAAATAACTATTTACAATAATTGTTTCAATATTTCTTATATTTTAATGAACTACTATCAATACTTATATTATTAGTGATAGCATAACGTATTAATAATATCTTTTCGTATTTAATCGGTATTATGAATTTTAATTTTTGTGATTAATAAGAAGAAAATAATTTTTTTTTATCTAGAATGTGTTATTCTACTTTATTTGTTTTTTCTCCAAATAATGTATGCTAAAAAAAGGACTGAAATCATCTTATTTTCAATTATTGTATAAGAAAAACGTACATAGTAATAATAAGATAAAATATAAGCTTCTGAAAAAAAAAACATAAATAAATTCTGTTGTAGCAATAAAACAAAAATTATTATTCTTTTCTACTTAATTCCTCATGTAATATATACTATACTATACCAACGTCTAACGACCAACGAAATACTGCGTTAAAACTTAAAATAATGTTTTTTTTTTTTTAATGTATTGATATAATTGTTTCAATACACCAAGTATCCCAAGTATTTTTACAATGTTTTTACAATATTATAAAGTTAATCGATTAAAGTTTACAAATAAGTTTACGGATACATTTTAGCTTTATAATGAGTCTGGATAGTCTTCTTCTTGAGCTTCAACTGCTTCAAGTAAAATATCTTGTGATGGCCATGGCTTTAGTCTGCGGTTTTTGGTTTTTTTTACCAACGTTGAAGTGAAGGACACCTCCAATTGGTTTTGATATCGAATGCCATTTTTTAAATTGTTCATAGATCCATGTAGTTAGGTATGCTATTCCAGTGTCGTTGTCGAGTTGTGTGTTTCACATCATGTACCATGTGGCTTTAAGAGCTATTCTGAGAAATTTGTTTTGTATCGATTGAAATTTTTTAATTTTTGTCTGGGTTGCGGGTGCCCATATTGGGAATACATATGTGATTAATGGTCTTATGTTATTGTTGTGTATATTATAAATGAGCATTTAATCTGAAGTGTTGAGCTGTAATTTATTAGGGGTTTAAGATTTCACCGCATGGGTAGAGCCCCGAGCCCTCGCTGCATGCACTGTCCCGGCGGTTCGGACACAGCTGAGCAYACGCTCTTTCACTGTGCCAACTGGAAAGGTTGCAGAACCGAGCACCGGAACCGTCTCGGCCCACCGGACACGGCGGACATGCCAGACATCCTGTGTGGCCCAGTCTTTGAGTCTCCTCATGCACCACCAGTAGAAGGCGGAAATCCTACGCAACGCGGAATAAACGTTCAGGCTCTTCTATAAAATGGTAGAGGACATCCTGACGTAGTGACGTTGAAGGAAATTGAGGAGAAGGCTCGCCAGGCTGCGGACACTGCAGACAACGGATGAACCCCAGAACGGGAATACGAGGGCTCCGGCCGGCTCCGGCCGGCTCAAGAAGTAGAGGCTCATAATCCTAGGACGGCTGATCTCTGCGTGGTCCGTGAAGAGGATCACCATGCACGGGATGTCTAGGGMAGCGGGCTTAGGTCGGCTCAAGAAGACACCTCAAGGCAAAAATTTAAAATTAAAAAAAAAATTAAATATGACATTAGAGGAAATTAGTGGAGTCCATTCCGGCTATCCTCATTGCGGCTTTGGCCACCTGTACATACTATGTAAGGCATCATGGAGTCGTAGACCGTAGTACACACACCAGCATTCGCTGAGGAAAGTGTACCAGAACAAGTGCCGCCATCCCCCACTCCGGGGCATGGCAGAAACCTACGGGTGCCCCAATAGAAAGTCTGACAAAACCCACGTGTAAAACCAACCTACAATTCCATATTAAAAAAAAACCTACAGTACTACCCCCTTCCCAATGGCCTTAGTTGCCGCGGGATAATAAAAAAAAAAAAGAATCATGATGTCTGTATGACTGTATAGTTGRTTTATCTTTCAATTGTTGTAGCTAAGTAGTAAGCATAGCCAGTATAGGTGCGTAATTTTTTACAAAMAATTTTCATAGAGGTAGGTTAGGTAGTACATATAGTACATATAGTATGTAAGGTAGGGAGGTTAAAAAAATTAAAATAATTTGAGATCGCGTGTTTGTTCTTCGATATAATATTGTTACTTAGTTATATTATTGTTATATTATATCATATATATTTACCACAGTGAAACACTCTAGGTCACTGAAATTTTATCCGCTATTCAGAGAACATCCACCATTTTTAGAGAAGTCGGTTAGAGGAGGTTTCACTGTACATGAATAATTCGATATTATTAATATTATTATCATTAGATAAGTTTACAACTTTACAAGCACATGCTGAATACGTTTTGTGGCCACTGTATACATAATCAGAATTGTAACGTCATTTTTATTTACGACTCTTTTTTATCAAAACTATTATATTTGATTTCTTTTCCTGATATAAGTTTATGATTTTCCTTACGTACCTAATAACTAATATAACTATACATCAATCGTGCTTACGRTTTTTTTCTCGAAATAAGATCTCGTACATTTTCGATTCCTATAGTAGTATAGTAGATCGAAATAGGAGCTCTGCAAGCTTACAATGATGTGTGGTTTTTCCGGTAAAAGCTTTTCAACGGTGTAAAAAAGCTCAAAAAGTTTCARACTAATCCATTTCAGAAATAAGAAATCAAATTTATCATCTGCAGATTCTACTTAAGTAAGGTTATTTTTTGAATTTTGTACACTGATTTTTCGACGAAATCCCACAAAACGATAAATTAATGTTAGCTCAGCTGCGTGCACTCGTATTTAACAAAAACTTGTTAATTTTTCCAACAAACTTGGCTATGTTATTGAATGGCTTTAGAAWTGGTTTATCGTTATTTAAAGTCCCTCTTTACCTGCAGAACCCAAGTACCAAATCTGTATTTTGCTTATTTATATTATTTTATCATCATTTTTCATCCATTGATAGACTTTGTCGACGGCACACCTATAAATTCTTATCCTACAAAGATTATCGTCCCAATCTAAAACCTTTAGGTTAATATTATATTTATCATATTTATAARTTATCACAAAACAATGAACCAAAGCTAGGGAATTTGATGTGACCTCAAAACTTTGATTGATCTGTTGTATTTTTGTTTTAAATGTTCAACAGGTCTTATACTTAATTTTGGTATATAATAATTAATAAAATACCAGACAATMTATATGCGAAGCTATAGGGCCCTTTATGCAGACATACAAAAAATAAATCACATTTAAAAAAAAATTGAAATGTACAACTTAATTTGATTTAATTTTTGTTTTAAACATCATTGTAAAAACCCCTTATGTACATAACTATATACTCTAATTTATTGTAAGCTAATAACTTTGATGTTGATACTGTAACAATAAAAAAAATAAAAAAATAATGATTACATTTAATATTGTATACATACACTTTAAATCTTCATATAACATTAATATAGTTATGTATTAGAATATGGAGTGGAAAATTGTTAACTAACGTTTCGTACCTATATGGTTTAAGTTGCTTGTTCGTAATTGTTGAATATCAAATTGGTTATCTGTGATATTAAAAAGGAGATGATGCATAAGTTTGAAAAAATATGTGAAGCTAAATATTTTAAATAACTTATTGATTAGGTCCTTACAAAATAAGAGATCATAATATTATAGTTAGAATGTGGGCGTAAACATCTTTTTTTTTAAAGAGTGAGCCTGTCTTCCACGTAACCCCTTAATTCGAGCATTTTATGCATACACTGTACGTTTTCATATAATATTGATGTGTATTATCATTGTAATATATTGTAGTATATGGATTGAAATGTTTTTTTTAAATTAACGAATCGAATATGGCATAAGCTGGCTGTTCGTAATCGTGTATAAAATTGATTGTTTGTGGAATTATTATTACAGCGCAGAAAACAAGATTTGTAGACAGCGAGGTAGTTTATGTAGCATACCGCCGTGTTGTTAAGCCACAGAATATTAAACAAAATTGAATAATGAGATAATCCGTGGTAAACGGCTTAACGATATTTTTTTTCCAATACATAGCTAATATATTTTTTAATTGTAAATTATTAATCCGTTTTGCACGGGAAATTATTTTATAAATATTTTAAATCTATAAACGTTATTAATAAATATTCAAATTTTTTTCATGATTTTCGTACAGACGAAAACAAATATAAATATAATTATTCTTATATTAATATATTACTCGCTGATATGCGATATCTAACAGAAATAATCTATGTGGGGAATTACAGTGGTGATTATTATACATAATATAAGCATAATGACAAATAAATAAAATTTATATTAATAATTTTCSTTTTTTTTGTGTATTTTAGGCATATTTTAGTTTAAATACTAGCATACTGGGGTCATTTATACATCTTGAAAGACCATACTGGACTGGAAATGGAACTGCTCCACAGAGCAAAAGTTTTCTTGAACCGGAAAAAATTTCTGAAAGTAAGCAATATGTAATCGTATTTTATATTATATTTTACTAAAATTATTTTTACTTTGTACTACTCAAATACTGTTTAAATAAAATAAAATAATAATATGATCTATCGACTGTGCTTATAATATGCATAATATTATAACTTTGACTTCAAAAATTATCGAATATTCGTTTATTATTTTTTTTTCATATAAAATTATTAAAAAATAATTTTATTTTAATTTTCAAGACGAAAATGAGCATTAAAGTAACGTAGTTAAATTTAAATAGATTTTATATTAATAGATTTATTTAAAAATTAGTTTTATTTCAATCGTCGTAGTGTGATGTTATTTTTTTTTTTTAGTTTGATCTTTTGAAATAATAAAAACAGACAAAAGCTTAGAACACAGTTTATATGTTTCCTGTATCGAGTATAGGTACTTTTTCCTTTTCCTATTTTTTTTTTTTATCAAACACGTATAACTTCAGCTAGYTTCAAGGATCATTAGCTTTTGTCAAGCGTTTATATTTATTATTAAATTAGATTGTGCAGGACAGTTGCGACGAAGAATGGAACGAGGTTGTTCATTAAATCCGTTTTATTGTTTTTTCATATACTAATATACTAAATATTTTATATTATATAGTTTTAAAATGGATATTTTTAATTATAATATATATTAATATTTAAATAGAACAAAATTCATGTGCTAAATATCCTGATTATTTGTCTATGGCTGAGTATAAAATAATATATATTGAATTATTGAATATACATTTAGAAGTGTCAAATAAACACAAGACAACCACCAAAACAGTATAAATTCATATTTTAAATGTTTTAATTAAAACATAACATATTAACAAATTTTTTAATTGAAATACGTTATTTAATTGTTTAATGCAGTATTAATATGTTATTATTATAATCTATAATAATATTATCATCGTTGATGATAAAACRTGCRTGTATGATGGTGTATAAGTGATTATAACATTATAAACGAATAGTTTAATACATTATAAGGACTAATAAACAAAAAAAAATGTAATAATTTTTTTTCCATATCGTACAAACTGTTTCTACAGGTCTCTGCAGTAATATTTTCTAAACTTTTTATATGTATTTCATTCACTTTGAGGCTATAACCAATTTTATAATTGAAACCATCCCTTTCAAATAAACTCACTATATATAAACCAATCCGACCTATTTGGACTTGCGAAATTCAATTCTAAAATGTGAAACAAAGCCCTCCGCCAAAACGCTCCAGGCGTGTTTCTGTCTGTCTGCATGTTTCAATTAACTTAATTTGCCAACCATCGTAGGTACATCGTTGATAAAAATCGTTATAAACACTAAAAAATATCTAACCTCAATTAACTTATGTTAAAACTCAATACTGTTGACCACAAAYTATCTAAGCGAATTAAATTCACATACTGTTGGAACCCGTTATTAGAATTTAGAACAATTATTATATCATCTTTGTCACCACTCCTTGAAACAGTCTGTAGAACACTTGAAAGAAATTCGCTCAAAGATTTACTCAAATAATAAAATATGATGATTCCCTGACTGACATCGGTATTTCTGAGTGACTTCCCATTGACGCTAATAAAGATGTTGTTTTTTTTTGTGTGTATAATTTATAATTTATTATGTCATCTCACTTATAGTGTTACTACATTAATATTGTACATAGTGTAAATAAGAAGGGTAATAATCGGTATCATAAAAAAAATCATTATGGAAAAACCACTCGAAAAATKTTTGCCACTCTTTTAAAATACATTATGATGAAACAACGAACTTCACATATATTTCTACTTTCCTCCCTACATACCTACCCCTAGTATACTCTAAGCACTACTCGGATGTTTAGCCGCGAGTTACAAACTCGGGTATAATTTATCAACACCCCACACCTCATCTGAATTATAAGTCGCTCCCTAAAAATGTCCTTAGAATACGCCAAAGAAATTTTCTCTGAAATCTTCTCGTATTACAAAACGAGATAATTCCATAGATTGACTACAGTGCTCCTGAACGGGTTCCGAGTATTCCGATTGACACGAGCAAAGATGTACCTAGTTTGTTGATAATGCAATATATACCATACCTACGCCTAATAAAGTAATAATATATTATCACACTTACTGATCGTACAGAGTGTAAATTATAATAATAAACAGTATTAAAAAAAAAAAATAATTATTATTATTAGACTTATTTGTACAAGCTTGGTAAAAATATATTGTGGAAAATCCCTGGAAAAATGTTTCCCACTCTATTACAACATAGGTATTATGATAGAATAATGAACTCTGTATAAATTTTCACCTTCCTTATTCCTACTTAACTAGATGAACCTTAAATGTACAGCTACTATGTACTACCTACTATTATACATGCACTACTCGAAGATTAGCCTAGTCACAGATCACGTATAATTTATATACACCCTACATCTCGTCCGAATTATAAGCATTTGTACATGTGTACATGTAGGTTGTGCATTGCTACTTCCTAATGACCACTGTATAAACATAAACTGAATAAATTGTTTTCATTATRATATATGTTTCAGCTACAGTGGTTTTCCATATGGTTGTGTTGGTGTGCGCGGGATGCGGTATCCTGACCAGCATCGTGTTGTTGATAGGAATATATTTTGTGAGTATAATACCTACATTGTGTTATCTTATACATATGTTTAAGCAAAAATAATTCAAGTATACGACCCACGAATACGTAATAATTATAATAACCCTATACATTGGCACGGGGGGGGGGAGTAGGTAGATTACGAGTATTGGGGGAAATGGTCGATTTAATCACGGTATAACCACCGACGCAGCGTCACGGGGATATAATATTACAATAGGTAGTAGTTAAATTCGAACGAAAAACAAATTTTCAATTAAAATTGCTGGAACTTAATCACTGACCCAGTGAAATCGGCACAAACCCGGGATTTCGAGATACCTCTTCTATACGTAGTATTGTAGTAATGGTACCTATATACAATATAACCCACGGTATTATTTCTGGTGTGTAAACTAACTGTGTTATAATACTGTTATGTATTTGTACATTAATATAGTTACGACCAAATAAACACACCGTAATAAACCAATATTTTTGCAGCTTATTTTCAGTTATTGATTTGACTACTAAATAGTATATATAGGTATACCAAAAATATAAACAATGACAGAGTGTGTTCAGGGTGCATAATTAAAACCGCTARCATAATGCACCGACGATAGACCGAAAGGCCGGTCGATACATATTAATTATGTTACGTCCGTCTAATTTCAGGTAGTCCCCTATGTGGATCACACACTCTCCACCAATTTACCACCTAAAAATAAAATCGTTCTTATTATGACTTTTGAATTTGTATGTAGTTATACACATAATTATACATAACAATCCCTAGATTGTAAAACAAACGTTTCAGTCCGTTAACAGAGATTTGGTTGAATTTTAGTGGAACGAAAATGCAAAATCATTCTTTCAAAATAATTTTATACATACAGTGTACTTACACTGTACACTTAATACAAGATAGGTCAGAAAATAAGACTGCCCTCTCAGACTGGGATCATAATATTTTAATTTTGAAGGGCTTTGTCCCAAGCACTCCTCCAATACTCGCATAGCAAGAACACCCTTTTGTAGAACAAATATTTAAGATCGTGGTTTTAAAAAAAATATTTATGCACCTATATCACTGGAGTAGGTATACAACAAATACCTGCATGTAAAATGTAATATGCGCCATCGTACTTTTTATGCGTCGAACCTACGACGATACAGAAAATTAATTAAATTATATAAAAAAAATCTAAAAATATGTAAATGTGATCATTCCTTAGAGGATACCTATTTAAAAATTACAAAAATTCGGATTCGAATAAATCCACGCCTAGATATTTAAATAGGAAGTGAGAATACTCGTTTTATCACTCCGTGTACACGTATGATGTTTGTAAGTATTAATTAAGTGCTTATTGTATGCGTCGAACATGGATGTACTTATATATATATAGAGAGTCTATATCGTCTATATTATAATCTATATATCATGTTTAACAGTACCGAATGGCACATACGTATAGTTCGTGCATACAGTTTACAATAGGTATATCGATTCGAATAACATAATAATATACTGTTGTGCCGTTTGTATACCTGTGATCAATGTTGGGTTGATTTGATTAGTCCCTGAGTTGTAATATATTAAGTATACATAAATGTTAAATGTAATATATTATACGTATAGACGTTTATAATGTTGAATGTATATTAATTGTATACAGAGTGATTCATATACCTGCACTTCCCAATTTTTTCATTAAATTATGCATTTATAATTCTTGTTCTGGTTTTTTGAATGCTTAAGTAAAATATATTTTCAATTTAGATATAGTTTCATCGTAAATTAATCAAAAAAACAACACCTTAATTATTTAGAAAAATATATGGTCTTCATTAGAAACCCATAAATGTGTGTACAATTACCACAAGATAATCTTTAAATTACAAAACATGACTTATTCAATTACTCATATTTTTTGTAATTTAAAGATAACCTCGTCGTGATTTTACACACATCTATGGATTTCTAATGAAAACCATATATTTTTCTAAATAATTAAGTAGATGTTTTTCCCACTAGATTTTGATTTATTTTTCTATAAAGTTGAACATAGTATAAATAGTAAATGATTGACGTGCCAAATTCTATACATTTTTGAAACGTGTCCGAGAATAACAAATAAGATATAACATATATTTATAATATATTGTATCATATTTATTTATTTGTGAAATAATTTTTACGGGAACAATATTTTTACTGTGTACATTTTAATAACTTGGAAATTATTAGTAATTATGAATTTCGATTTAGCTAGGTGCATTAATATTTTATAAAAAATCAAGAACTCGACTACCTATTTCTAATACAAAAGCGTGTTTTTCTCTTAAAGACATGGAGGTTATATAAGAAGTACATGACCATGGAAAGTTAAAAAGATACAAATTTAATAAATAAAATTCATTACTTAAGGATAAGAAAATGAGTATGTAAGCTTAATGAATGGCCTTATATATTCATATCATCGTTGTGTTTCATCGTAAATGTTTTGTATATGTATATAATATATTTTAATAAAACTACCAACCATGCAAACCATCGGGTTATACATCAGGTCTACGACGCACGTTGGTAAATTGATATTTCATTTGGGAAAAACTTCACTTATTGGAAAATTCCTTCCATTTGCATTACTAATGTGTTTACTTACACTAAAATTATCACGGGACTTTGAGGTTGTGGTGGAAATACATATTATTAAAATGATTTATATTTCTATGTATGATATATCTATTCGCAACCATATATACATGCACGATACATACACAATAGTATATATAGTTATGAAGAATACATTTTCAGAATTCTTTTTACCAAACAGTAGTACGATGATTTTGTGATTGATAGTATTTTTCGAAAACCAAATGTCATTTCCAGTTGCAAAATGTAAAAAAAAAAATAATAACTTTATAAAAGTATTATTTTTAGTTTCAATCAATTTACCGCCAAATGTAAAAAAATATAACATATTTTTTTCATTCTTTAATACAAAATATACTGACAGTTGAATTTCAGTATACGTATATTATATAAAATTTGTTTTAAAAATTCTATTCATTTCACATTGCTTTAGTTTTTTTTAATCCTATATTTTATAAATGCTATAACTATTCTATCAGTTAGTATAAAAGATAAATAGTTTTTATAATTTATATAGGTTTGATGCACTTTATGAAACAAACCTCGTTACAAAAACATATTTTGTTTCTTTTACCGTAAATAATTTATGTTTATGCATAATAAAACATGTATGAGCTAATTTACATTTCGAACGAACAGCAATGATTATAAAATATGACGAATTCTTTATTAACGTGGAAAAATCTCAACATTATACTATTATGAACTATGAAGTATATTTTTTATAAAAATACTAGTTGTATAAATTAATATTATATAATGTATTTACATAATCATTGAGTTTGACAACATAATTTATTTTTATTTTTTAATCATATGATTTTACCACATTATATTATGTTGAACTGCGTTATTATATCGTTGGAATTAATATAATATAATATGTTTAATGAATAAACTCAAATAGAATTGTACTGCGCGAATTTATAATATACAGCAATTGTATAATAATAAATTACGATGTACCTACATACCTAATTAAAATTTAAAAAATCTGTAAAATTTATGAGTAGAAAATTTTAAAAATATTACAATGCATGTTAACGGCTTGAAAACCAAATAAGTAATAATTTCATTACCTATATAGTTATCGTGAAAATAGACTGATAATATTTGTTTAACTACTTCTTGCTACGTAATATTGAAGTTCATTCTGATATTACATAATAATATAATACAAATTTAGTTTTTTTGTTTAAAAAAAAAAAATAAAGTACTAAATAATTCAGAATATTTATTAATTTGTAAACAAATAAATATAATGTTACTAAGTTCTTAGAATATATAATATCAATTTGAGTCCATCTGTCGATCAATTCCGATTTTTGTATCATTGTTTCTATGGTATCTAACACGACAGTTTATCATATTATACCGGGTGATTCTTTTATCATTGAACACTCATTATTTAAAAAATTACTAATGTTTTTAAAAATATTTTTTTACATAGTTTCAATTTGTTCAAAAACCAACGTTTTTATTAAAAAATTATATTTTTAAATATTTTTTATCCTTACCATTTTTTAAGTTTTTTACTTTTTTGAATGACAACCTAGAGGTTTAATTTCATATTCCAAAGCAAAATATTTTTCTAAGTATTTTTATACGCAAAAATCGAATTTTGGACGAGTAGTTTATGAATTATAAGCATTTAAAGTTTAGATTGGCGGAGTGGAGTGGTGCGGGGTTACCCCGCAAAATGTTTGTCCACTACTCCGCTTGTCTAAACTTTAAATGCTTATAACTCATAAACTACTCGTCCAAAATTCGATTTTTACGTATAAAAATACTTAGAAAAATATTCTGCTTTGGAATATGAAATTAAAACTCTAGGTTGTCATTCAAAAAAGTAAAAAACTTAAAAAATGATAAGGATAAAAAATATTTWAAAATATAATTTTTTAATAAAAACGTTGGTTTTTGAACAAMTTGAAACTATGTAAAAAAATATTTTYAAAAACATTAGTAATTTTTTAAATAATGAGTGTTCAATGATAAAWGAATCACCCGGTATAACGATATTTTAGAGGGTTGAAGGTTGGAAATTCTCACCTATTTTTTGTAGAACATCTATTCTTTCGATGGAAATAAAATTAAGACGCTAATATAATACAATGACGTGTTATAAATGGATATCATCAATACGTATACTTTTGTATTTTACTTTTCAAAAAAATATCGCTTTGGTCTGAAAGTTGAGATCAACTATGCTGAAGCTGAAATAAAAAATGATTACAGTAATTTATTACTATAAATTATACTAAAAGGAGCTTTTCTATATCATATAGTTGTTCAAGTTCTATAAAATATCACATTTCCTTATCTATTAAATATGTACCAACTACCAGTTATACTTTATAACTAATAA